TACTCAGAGAAGTAAAAGTGCTTACTCAAAATGAAAAAATTAAGGGTTTTTTTGGCTCTTTTTATTTTCCGTTTGCAGAAACACTGGTTCCAGAATTGTGACTGGATTTTATATCCACAACTGGAGTTTAGGTAAAAACATCCACAGATATTTCCATTTCTCGTCTTCTACCCTTGGCTTGGTTCTCAGAGAGCCTCCTTATATTCTGAAGTGCCTGCCAGGACCAAGGTGGATATTAGACCTATGAATAATGGCTGAGGCTTCATCTTCAGACTCCACATTTTCCCAGAGGGAGAGAGTATTTGTATTCATCTTTTAAGCAATGGAGAAGCCAGAGGATGACTCATTTCTCAGCGCTGAGGAGGAGGTCATGATACCCTTGACTAGAGTCCCTGAAGTGTCTGGTTATCTCTAGGTATGGTCCCAGCAGTCTCATGAGGAGTACGTGCCACGGGGACAGGAAGTTCTGGGAAGAGAGATGGTAGTTCCTTAGACAAGGCTTCTTCCTGTCAGTCCCCCATCATTACCAGACCCAGGCTCCAGTCCAGAAGTTCAGCTTCCATCTCAAACACCCACTCCGAGATTCACATACTTGCACACAAAGCCCTGTCTCATCACCATGGCTGGAATGACCCTTGCCGAGAGGCCTTCTCCTCTTCCAAATGCAGAAAGAGGAAGGAATTGCGGAAAAAAATACAAATGAAAACCTTACTCTGGTAACACTATGGAGACAGTAAAAAGACCAGAAGTTGCCAGAGGTGAGAAGAGAGAGAGGGATATAGGTGGAACACAGAGAATTTTTAAAGCAGTGAAGCTACTCTGTGTGATATCACAATGATGAACACACATGCCATTAGATATTTGTCCAAACTTACGAAATGTACAGCTCTGAGCGTGAGCCCTAATAACTGTGGCCTTGGGTAGAAATGGTGTGTAAATAAATGTCAGTTCATCAGTGGTAAGAAGTGTTCCACTCTGGGGGGGGGGTGACAATGGGGGAGGCTGTACCAAGGCGGGGGCAGATGCCATACGGTCTATCTCTGTACCTTTCTCTCAACTTTGCTGTGGACCCAAAATTACTCTTAAAAAATAAAATTTTTAAACAACAGTATCAACAACAATAATCACCCCCCACCACTTAATCTAAAGAGAGAAGTAGGGGGCAATGTTCCTTTCCTTTCCTTAGAGCATAAAAATTCTATCCAATTCCTTTTGCACCAAGAGATGTTGCTGGGGAATCAAAATGGAGCAATCCCCAGTGTGTGCATGCAGCTTATCAAAACTCAATATACTGACTTATAAACCAGATCGATTCAGTGGTGATTATTCACCTTCCTAGCAACATTACTTCAACCCAGCATTCCTTTAAGCAGAAATTCCCTAGTCCATGTAGAAATTTGCCTATATAGATCATGAGTGTTTAATGGAAGGCCAAAAGAGACAAAAAACTAGAGTTCCGAGCCATTGGTGCTATAAGTCTGGGAGAATAAAGAACAAAGATGAAGTACCTTTGAAATCATATAAATAAGTAGGGAAATGGAATGGATTTACCAAGTTCATTTCATACACAATTTTGCACAGCATTATAAAATACTAACCTTTGCAAAGACCTACCTAACACTTATTACTATATGCTGAAATAAATGGTTTATTTGCATGAATTCTCATATCAGCTGTGATAGCTACTATTCTTATTTTATAGACAAATAAATGAGGCCCAGGATAGGACAAAAACCTGTCAAAGTCATAGGTGTTTTGAGTTCACATTACTCCATTGATCAGTGGGTCATAAACTGTCATTTTTTTCCCCTTCTCAAGTGAAACACAGGGGGTTAATCAGCATTCACTCCTCTATTGAAAAATGTTCTTTAAAAAGGAAACTATTTTTGGATAGAGTGAATTAAACAGTAAATATGAGTCTCGCTGTTAGTTTATTTTCACGGAGTGCACACCCTCCTCCAACCATAATTCATCCAGGATGTGAGCTGGGACTCATTAGAAGTCACTGGGCTTGGGGGAGAAGATAAAACCATGGTTAAAGACATCTGAGCCCTTGAGGACAATGCATTATCTTGGATTTCATTTTTTAATAGGAGACACTAATTCACACAAGAAGTCCCCGGGGCAAGCAAATGATGTCTTCTAATTGTCCTGAGCCTCTGGAATTTCTGAGCATGAACTTGCTCCTGGGCTGGGCAGGGCCCAGGTCTGCACAGAGGTGGCAGGCCCAGGGACTCGTTAGAACTCTGATTGGCCCGGCTTTGGGTGATGATGATCTCTGGCCATAAAATAGATAGTGGCTCCAAATTGTCCGTCATGAGTTGGCTTTTTGTTTTTAAGTATGAAGATCGCTCTTCATGCCCATGGGAAGGTGAAGGTTTGTCCCAGAAGGTCAGGTTGAAAGTATTAGAGTAGTTAGCAAATGGCAGAGAGCAGACAGTGGCCATTCTGAGAGCCAAATCCTCCTTGTTTGCAAGGTGTGAAAAACGAATGCATGGTGGGCTGTGGGGTCTTGACTGTAAAAACAAGGGGGGTGCCGTATTGGAGTTCCCTTCAAATCTATGATAGGGTTAGAAAGGCAGAGTCAGGAAAAGCATCCTGTAGCTCAGGTCCCTCCTACACATGGGATGTTGGAATTGTGATCACAATGCCAGCAAAAGGAGTGTCGATCACTTACCAAGTGCCAGACATTATGGCGTATGCATCAAATATTGGGGTAGACCATGAAGCAGGCATTGTCAAGATCTCCATTACATACCTGAGAGAGCTGGAGCATGGAAAGGCAGAGTGACTCACCCCAAATCACATGGGGCTCAGGGTTTTGGACCCAGGTAGTTTAATTTTAGTATTTGCACTAAATTGTGGCTTGGATGTGTTTTGAGTGTGCCCTCCAAACGTTCTTCAGCTGGAAATTTGGTCCCCAACAAGGTAGTATGAGATGGTGGGATTTTAAATGGGGTGTGTGTGTGTGGAAGATGATTAAGTCATGGGGTACCATCTTCGGAAGGAATTAATGTGAATTTTGTAGCACTCTAGTTTGTTGCCATGAGAGTGGATTATTATCAAATGAGGAAGCCTGGCCCCTGTGTCTCTCTCGACTGCTCTTGTGGAGTCCCTACCACGGGGCCGCCTGCCGTGTTTGAGGTAGCCAGAAGCCCTCATCCCAGGCCAAACAGACAGGGCCACCCAGTCTTGGACCTTTGGCCTCCCAGACTATGAGGTGTAACAGCTTCTTTCCTTCTTACATTGTCCAGCCATGAGTATTTCATTTTTAGCAATAAAAGTTGGGCAAAGGCACACGCTTATCCAGTATAATCTTCATCTGTAAGATGAAAATAATTACATGTCTACCTCAGAGGGTCACAGTCAAGGTGAAATGATGTCACAAATAAAAATGCTTAGCATAGGTAGCTCCTGGCCCACAATAATAGCTTGTTAAGTAAATTGAGTTTGTTTAGCTTGGAGAAGCTAATGAGAATAGGAGACTGAATTATTGCCTTCAAATATTTTTTTAAAAATTTTAATGATTCACTTGTTTGATGAGTATTGAGCCTTCTACAAAGCCAGATAAGGCTTTGTATTGTTCTTACATATATAGCAAGAGAAGAGAATATAATTTAAGTAGGAGAGATTTAGACATAAGACATAAGACAACCTGACCTTCATACTGGGTATAAAATTTCATAAAAAATTATTTCAATTAGCTGTGAAGGTTAAATTCATGATGTTTAAATAGAGAATTACTACCTGAAGACTGCCCTGTAGAACTTTGCAGGTTATGTACAATAACAAAGCAGGGGCTGCCATTTACACTGTAGTATATGTAAATGGTACTCTCTGGAGTTGCATAATAGCAGACTACGTGGCCCCCGGTGGGAGTCCTATTCATTTTCTCTGAAGTGTGTGTGTTGAAAATGATTCTACTCCAGCCATATGAGTCCATGGCTTTGAATGAAAGTTGAGAGGAGATGATTATCTAACAAAAATAAATACATGTCTTGTGTATGACTCACCATTCAGAATTTCACAGCAGTCATAAATAATAGACCAAAACCTTACAATCTTTCTCAATGCCATACTCCAGAGTCACTATCAATATTCAGATCTGAGTCACACAAAAGCTGTCTAGTTCTTAGTAGTGTAGATTGGAGTTAGATGACATGTCAAAACCAAGTTCTGTCACTTTTTGTACTGGTGATCATTACAAACCAGAGAGAAAGTTTTTGGCTGCTAACAGCAGAAACCAAATTGGAAAAATTTTAACAATAAGAAAAAGTTATTGTCCTCTTTTTTTAAAACACAGAACATGTGCATATACAGGCCTACGTTTTATGTTTTTAACACCTCTGATGTTGGGTACGTCATGCCATTGCCACAGTTTGTCCTTGTGTATCAAACCTGCAGGATGGTGATGGTATCTTGGGAATGCACCCAAGAGATTATGCAGGGATGTCTCTTAAAGAACGTTGTGTCATCAATGCTCTTTATAGTTTAGAGGACAACCGTGCATGGAAAACCTCAAACGCTGGTGACTCTTAGTGGACAAGTGATTCATGACAGTTACACTCTCAATGCAGTGAGATTTAGAAATGTCTTGACTAATTGGCTTCCTTTATATATTTATGATGAATATATATTTGTTTTAGGAACACATTTATTTATGAATATAGCATAGTGATAAGGTATATAAAAATTAGAATCTAGGTATAAATAAGTCTAAATGCACTGTTTTATTAAGTATAATGTAAAAATTCTAAGAGGTAGGAGAATATAGTGTCATAGTTGGCTTGGTATTTTTGTCCTTCTCTTAGACTCAGTGTAATGGTCCATGCTATAACTGGTGGCACCTAAGGATCAGGAGAAATGCAGCATGTCATATTACAAGAAGGCTGCGGGGAAGGCAGCGCCAGGGTTGGCTAGTTTGGCAGCTGCACATTTAAGGACACAGTTTCTTTTTATCTTTTCACCCTGTCATCCTTAGTCTGTTGGCCTGTTCTTTTAGGTGGCTCCCCTTGTGGTTCCAGATGATTATTCCAGCTCTAGGAGCTCCATGCTGATGGCAATGTCCAAAAGCAGAAGGTGAGTCTCTCTCAGGGGCCTACGTTAGGTTAACATGAATTCCTCACAGACTTGACTTCATATTTTACTGTCTATAACTGTGCCTCACACACATAGTCAAGACCAAGGAAGCCGAGAGCACTGTGGTCTAGGCCAGTGGGGGCTTATTCCTGCACCTAGGAGAGGACTCTGGCTCCTGACACACACAATCCCTTGAACAAAACCTGTGTTCTTCGAGCAAGAAAGAAAGAGAGGGAAGATATGTTGGTAAGTCAACTGGAAGTGTCTGCCATGCTCAGCAAATTGCTTACCTTTTCTTGTTGTATTTGCTTATGTATAAATGACAACAATAATAATAATAATAGCAGCTACCTGAAAGAGTAGTTTTGAACATTAAATAATACATACAAAATACTTACAATACTACCTGATATATGATGAGGACCCAAAAAGTGTTAACAATTTATTGCTATTGCTCTTCTAGTCATTATTGTAATGTTACCCTAAATCTAAATAGGTGAAATTAGCACCTGCCACTGAAGAATAGGAAAATATGGGCCTGAATTCACCTTATATATTAGGACACATAGTAAGTGATCAGCAAGTTTTTTTTCTTGAGCAAATCTCCTGTACTAGGTATTGTTCCCAATCTAGGAAGATTTTAAAACACAACCACTGAGGAATTTATATTGTGGTTGTAGGGGCAAGACTTACACTTGGAAAACAAGTAGAGAGTCTCTTGCTTTCTACCCTTGGGACATGCTCTTCCCTCCCCTGGAATACCACTGATCATCAGCTCTCTCCCACCTTAGCCTGGTGAATCAATGTTCCTCCTGCTCTGTTAACTTAATTGTTCCCTGACCTCAATGTTTAGGTGATGTGTTTATGCTGAATGCTTTCATTATCTCCATCATAATAGCAATGAAACCTGTCAGTCTTTTGTCTGGCTTCCCCACTAGATTATAAGTTCCATGAAGGCAGGGATCATGTCTGTTTGTTTCATGACTACATCCCCTGTATATGGTGCCCGACACAATGCAGTGTGAGTGAAGATGCTTCACTTAGAAGTCTTTCAGTTGTGACAGATATAACTTAGTTTAACTTTTTTTTTAAATGCATAGATCTTGTGATTGAAAATCTCAGAGGCTGAGCTAATTTTTAGGAGTGGCTTGATGCAAGAGCTTCAAATGATGGCATTAATATACTTTTAGATCTGCCTTTCCTAGTGCTGGCTTCATTTCCAGGCTTCTCCTGGTGTTCTTGTCACCTCTAGATTCCAATTAAGCTCAGTAGCAAAGAATATACACCATTTCCCCACTAGTTCTACCAAATGTCTTATCTTACTAGGATCACATGTCCATCCCTGAAAGAATCTCTGTGGCTACGCATGGAACTGAGGTAAGATTTTCCTCCCCTGCATGCATGTAGGTAAACAGTCTGAAAGTGAGGGAGGCAGCGATTTTCAAGGAAAAATTTAGGATAATATTAGAAGAGGTGCAAGTAGATGTTGGACCACAAAGCAATAGATATTCACTATAGAATGAACACATGAATGAGCGAATCATACAGGTAATAAAATTAGGATGGAGAAGAAAATGGTTAATGCATTTGTGGCAGGGGAAGATAATGGCTCCCCAGAGGTGTTTGTATCACAATCCCTGGAATCTGTGGACATGTTACCTTACATGGCAAAGAGGAATTTAGGTTGCTAATCAGTTGACTGTAGAATAAGACTAGCCGGGCAGACTCACTGCAATCACAAAGTCTTAAGAGGAAGCAGGGACAAAAGAGAGGGTCAGAGTGATGCCATTTGAGAAGGACTCAACACACTGCTCCTGTCCTTGATGATGGAGGAAGGAGATGTGAACCCAGAGATCCAGGCAACCCCTAGAAGCTAGAAAAAGAAGAAAATGGATTCTCTCCTAGGACACAGTAACCCTGCCTGCCTTGGGTTTAGCTCAGTGAGACCCATTTTGGACTTCTGATCTATAGAACTGTAAGATACTAAATCTGTGTTGGTTTAAGCCACTGTTGTAATTATAGCAGCAATCAAAACTGATGAAGTTCAAGTAAGATAACAGCACTTGTAAAACAAATGAATTATGAATGATACAGAACCATGTAATGCGATCAGAGGGAAAGAGAAAAGGGGCATGGAGTTCAGAAGGGGGAGATCTCTTAGTTGGTGTAGTCAAGAAACTGTTTTGGGAGAGACAGCATTAGAGCTGGGTTATTTTATGAGTTTCACAGAAGGGGATGGATTTTTGTCTGAGAACAGTGGAATGCTCAAAGGCAGGAATGAACAACATATTGAAGGCTTCATTGAAATTGCAGGCTGTGGTCGGAGAAAGCTACAAGACAGGGTAGGGTGGAAAGACAGGAGGCGAATCAGCTTCTGGAAATCTTGGTTGAGAGGTTTGTGTCTGTTCTGGTTAGCAGTGAGAAGGGAGTGTAGGCTTTGAGAAGAAGCGGACACAGTGGTGCCCAGGAAAGACTGGGGACAAAAGAACAGGCTAGGCAGGCGGCATTGGGAAGGCAGCCTGTCTGCCGGAAGATGGCTGAGACTCTGCAGCTGAATGGAAGTAGAGTGAAAATGAGGGGCACCAGAGAACACAAAGGCGGGGGTCTTCACTTGGAGCGCGAAGACCCTCTCTCCTACGTCCATGACTTCTAGGGGTTCAATGAAATTGCCAAGATTCAATGTAAAATTTGGGGTTTTGTGAGTTTTCCTAGCAAGGAGACTGTATCCTTTATTAGTTTTTTTTTTTGGTACTGGGGATCAAACTCGGGTCCTTGCACTTGCGAGGCAGGTGGCAGAACCACTGAGCTAAATCCCCAGCCCTATCCTTTATTAGAATCACAAAAGGTGTAATCACCAATTAAGTTTTAAAATACACTTCATTGAAGAATGATATTATATAAAAAGTGCACATATCAAAAGTATACAGCTTGCTGGGTTTGCACAAACTAAATACATCTAACAATCTGGCCCCCCAGATTAAAAAATAAGCAGAATTCACTGCCCCAGAAGTCCCCTCTGAAACCCCTCTGCCCCCGGCCCTCTTCCTGCCAGGGTAACCACAACCTTAACTCTGTTGTAAGGTATTTAGCCAGGGCTGCATCATACTCAGTTCTATAGAATTAGGCCACCATTCCTAAGAGCAAGTCAAGGCTAGAAAACCCACATATCATGGCTTTGCTCCAGGAGATTTCAGATAGAATTGGATGAGAAAAATATTTTGTTTCTTTCCAAACATCTCTACATTGCTTTAGCACTGGGCAGGACCACTCCGAGCAGGGTCCCTCTCTCAGATTTTGACCATCTGACATGTGGCCAAAGCCTGAGCTTTCCCCCCAGGACCTAAAATCTCTGTGCGTCACTCCATTTGCCACATTAGTCATCATAATCCTGGACCTTGGGAAGAACAAAATCTAATTAGGGTGTTTTATTTTATGAGTTGATCATTATTTGGTTTCCTTTCCTGGTTCAGATTCAAGGGCCAAAAACACAGACTCTTAAGTACATAGTTACCGTGGTGTGTTTTTATGCTGCATCAAGTGCCTAAAGCATGTTAGAGTGTAAGAGGATTAGACAGCAAATAGTGCCTGATAAATATTAATAGGAAGTCCTCCTGCAAGAGTGATAGAGTGCATTCCAGCAGACTCGAGGCCAGAGGAGACATACATGGGCTATAATAAGGTTCAGAACCTATTTATTTGCCTTTTCAAACAATAGTCAAGTGAATAAGGATAACTGGGTTTCAGATTCGGCTTCCGCCAAAGCTCATAAAAGCGAGGAAACCAAGCAAAAAGAAATGAGATGAAGTTTTCATGGCCTCATCAAGAATAATGGACACTGGCAAGGGAAGGAATCCAAAAAAGAAAATGAAATTTCCTCAGAGAAAGGGAGCAGAGGTAACAATGCCATCCCTGGCTGTGTGCCTAGTGCCCTGCCCTTCCCATGGCCACATCTAGTATGCTGGCTGGCACTCTATCATGACAGGGTTCCAGGATCTGCCCTAGGTTTCCAGTTCTGTCAGGATTTTGTGGTCCTGACTTCTGTTGGATTTGACATCAGCTGGGGTTTCAAATTCTTTTTGTTTTGGAGAGTTGCGGTATGATGGTGTGGTGTTTAAGCTTAACTTATCGACTCGATTAGCTTGAGACCTCTGAGGGGATTAGGCACGCACACTTTTGGGTGTGTCTGGGTGGGTCTTGGAGGTACAACCTTGGGTGCCATATAGAGCCCCTGGCCTCTTCCTCTTGGGCACTGTTCCTTTGTCCTGTTTCCCAGCCACCATGAATAGAGCAGCTTTGCTCTGTCATGCTCTTCTGCCGTGATGTTTCTGCCTTAGAGGCAGCCAACTCTGGACTGAATCTCCTAGAATCATGAGCCAAATTAAACCTCTTCTCTTTTAAGTGGTGGGTGTCAGGTATTGTGTCTCAGTGATGGGAAAGCTGACTAATACACATTTGCCCTGACGTGGAAAGGAGCGTGAAAGAGGTGAAATTTGTCTGGGAAACTACTCCCTACCCTTCTCCCCTCTAAGCCCTTTTCTTTGCATTTTTCCTGTGCTACTTCTTACATCCCTCCTCTTCTTCCTCCAACCCTGAATTGTTGCCACAGACTAAGGAATATGCAGTCTTTTCCAGGGCCTGCGCTGAATTTTAATGTTAAAAAACCTGTCACAATAGAGATGGTGCTTCCAGTGTCACCTGCTTTCTTTTTCTTTTGAGAAAATGTATGGAAAAAGCTAGTAAGATTTTAGAACAGCTCTTATAAGTGCTTATTTTTCCTAATTAAGCTAGGAAATAAGTACAATGTATTTATTTTAACATAAGTAAATAGCCTAAAAAATAAAAATGCTTTAACACAGAACTAAAGGTTCCCTGGAAACTTCAGATCTATTAATCTTACTTACCCCCCTAAACCCAGTTAAAATGACATTAATTAAATGAAGACACTCTGGGAAAATGAGAAAAGTCAACAGAATGGACAATGGGACACAGAAGTATAAAGGTCTTCTCAAAGAACAGGAATTATGAGACATAGACGCCTGTAAGGTAAAGGGGTAGGGAGCTATGAAGAGCAAGCTGACCTGTCCCATAGAAGCTCTAGAAGTTTAGGAACTGGAGGTACCAGGTTCTTCTACAAGCCAGGATATGGGTGAACTTGAACCCAAGAAGTAGGTTTAAATTTCCAATTAAGAAGATGTTAAATCCTATGCCAGTGAGCACCCTGTCACTACAGCAAAACACCTGAGATAATTAACTTCTAAAGAGAAAAGCTCTATTATGGCTTACAGCAGTGATGGCAAATATTTTAGAGCTTTCAATGATACAAACAGGCCACTGTGGCACATGTGCCATAGGTTCCCCATCACAGCCTAATAGTTTTGGAGGTTCCTACCCATGATCATTTGCTGTTTGTTCTTGATGGCTATCCCCTCTCTCACTTTGAGGGTACAGTCTCTGCCCTCCTATGCATTTCTACCTTAGGGCTGAGAAGAAACCCATAGTACCAAGAGGCCAGACTGCAATTTCTAAGCAGGATGTAGAGTTGGCTGGGAACACTGGAAGAGGAACAATATTACATGAGGGAGAACCATCTTTGGACTCAGCGTAGACCTGCCTGCTAGTGGTCTTCTTTTCTGATTGAGGGCAGCAACTAGTTCTTCATCCCCCCCTTCCTCTGAAAGTGCCCTAGATAGCTTACAAACTGATTCCAAACCCCAGGGAAAACATTACGCTCTTCCTCTGTGGTCTTTTCTCAGGATGATTGGTAGTAGGAATATCATTTTTCTTAAGAGTAAAACTACCCTCTCCCGAGCGCTTTAGGCAAGCCCTGCGGCCCAGACAAAACTATCATGACAAGGTTTAGTTGGGTATATTTCCTCAACTTGGAGTGATTCCGACTTATTTATGGCCATTTTGTCACCCAAACAAGAAAGGATGCAACTGACAGTACTACCTAAGATTGGCAATTGGGATTTGTCTCTCTATTCTGTGCCTGCCTAACTGAGGGAGGACCAATAGACAATGTTCCATAGCTAAAGGAAAATCACCATCCTGACACCCAAGCCAGTGCACAATAGTCATATGCAAAAAGAAAAACAAAAAGCTTGAGTATGCTGGAACAGAAAACATGGCTCAGGCTTAAGGCTACTAAGGCCTTTTCTTTGTGTCTTGAATCTAAATATTAGAACTTACATATCTAGGCATTTCTACAGAGAATGGAAGACATAGATAGAGCATGTGTCCACTTGTCCAATCAGCAAGGTGGGAAAGGAAGGCAGGTTTGGCTCAACCATCTGGTTGTGGATGGGCCAGGAGAGCCAGTAAGAGTGATGCTGCTTGTGGTGAGATGTCAATGTGTGGTCCTTTTCTCTGAGCTTCTCTTCCAGGTGGAGGAGTAGCTGGGGGTGGAAAGATGGACAGAAGCATGTCCTTCCAGAAGGAGTAGGGAGAAAGGATTCTCATAACACCTAACATGGTATTCGGCACATGATGGCTGCTTAGTAAATACTTCTTAACAAGAAGCAAGAAAGGATTAGAATGTAATGAGAAGCACAAAATGAAAAGGTCAGAGAAAGCTTTGTGAAGGAAGGAGCATTTTTATCTCCTACATCCGCCCATATGAACTTTTGTAGTTAGAACATTTTCCTAAGTAGCTAATCAACACTGAGTAGTACAACTGTAGAATATTATTACCTATTGAGTGTTGGCTGGAAATGTTGGATCAATTCGTAATTGCCATTAAAATTTATATAAATAAATGATAGGATCTGAAAGTCCTTACATTTCATTCTACTAAAATTACCACATAAAAATTGGGCCTGAGGGATTACTGACTAAAGGAAAAATACATTTCAATAAGGCTTCCTTGTATGCTTGACTAACAACAGAATCACATCCACAAGTCATGTACCAAATGTGGTGCCTCTCCACCCACCACTCTTGTCAATAAACCATCTCTACAGCTAGTCCACACCCACACATGGATTTTGGATGACAGGTGGCACTATTGAAAAGACTTGGATGTTTCCCAGAGATGGTGGTGAGAAGGAAGAAGGACCCTAGGATGTGAACCTTGTGTGTGCAGAAGGGCCATGTAAGGAACACAGAGGTAATGGCGAGTACACCCATTTGGCTGATGAGTTAATCTGATCATTTATCACTTTGCCTTTCTATTAAAAGGGAACATTTGATTCTGGTGTCTCAAAGAAATTGCCTTCCTAGAGAAAGAAAGTGATTGATAGAAATTTAGGAGTGTTATGGAGATACTGCTAAAATTTGTAGGTAACCAAATTTGTGAACTCTTAAAAAGTCTCCTCCTGTAGTCCTTTGTGAAATAGTACTGGGGTGGACTCACTCTCCACAGGCCTGTGTTAAGAAGCCAGTATTTCAAGCATTAGGTAGACCAGATGGCTTTACTCCAGACCAGCCCTTCACACCCCACCTCACTAACAAAGCTATACCAGTGATTCAGAGCTTTCTCAGAATGATCATACTGATTATATTAGTTAGGATTTTCCATGAAAACAGAATCCACTGGAAGGCTTAAGATCTAGGAACACAGTACTCAAAGGCAAGAGAGAATGGATGTCCCATTTAAAGCAGAGAGAGAAAATTTGCTCTTCCTCTGTCTTTTTGTTCTTCTCATGTCCCCAGTGGCTAGGATGATGCCCACCTACATTGATGAAGCGAATCTTCTTTACACATCCTACTGATCCATATTCTAATCTCAGAAATACCCTCACAGACACACCCACAAATAAAGCCTTATAGATATCCTTTAGCCCAGTCAAGCTGATTGGTAAAATTAACCATCACATTAACCTCTTCCTTTTGTTGGTGGGGTAGGCTCTGAGTGCTGCGAGAGAGAAGAAACCCTTAGAATTTGTCACCTTTCCTTGGGCATGCTAGATACTGAGCCTCAAAGTTGTCACAAAGACTCACCTGCTTCTTCCTCTGTCTCTATATTGAGCCTCCTTCTCTTATACTGTGAATAAGCTTCTGGCACATGGCAGAAGGTAAGGAGGCACAGCCATGGTTGGCTCCAAACTCATGTTAGCTAAGTCTGAAAACCTTGGGAGAAGCATGGAATGCCCCCCGATCCAATTCAGAAGACTGAAAACTCTGGAAAGACCCTAGTTGCTCTGGCTACCCTTTGAACTAACCACTTTAGCCAGGAGCATAAGGATGTGCCATATAGTAATTCATTCAAAGGAATGGGCAGGGAGCTGAAATTGGTAGTCCAATCAGACTCATGTGGGAAACATAGAGGGTGACAGTGAATCCATATATAAATGTGGAGGGTGGTTGGGGAGTATGAGATAAGGAGGCTGTTATCCAGGATAGAGAGGTTGGATAAATTCAAGAGGCAAATGTCCTTCCAGCTTGGGAGGCTGAACAAAAGTACAATAAGGTTTGGAGTGAAAAGTAAGAAGCAGAACTCACAGAAATTCTGAAGTAGAAGTCAAAGTCCTCAGAAGAGTTCTTTAGGGTGCTGGAGGCTTTAATTGTGTGTGGAGGGAAAACTATTAATGACATTGGCCAGGAATTGGCCCTGCTTCAGTACAAGTGGGTGTGGGAGCCCACGTCCTCTTTGCCTTTGTGAAGGTCAGAAGATTCTTCCTGGCTAGATAGACAAGGGTACTGGCCCTTGATGGCTCCATGGCTGTTTTCTCTAACTTAAAAAAAAGATATCAGGGGTTCTTTTCTACTACACTGGGACATTTCTTTTCCAATGGCAGTCACTGAACTGGTGGGAAGGTAGTCAGTTTAGCCACTTACATTTAAGGCCTGGAGACATTTATTTATTGAATTCAGAAATCCAGAAAGGCAGCCTATCTCATGATGTGGTGAGTGCTGATTGCATGCCATGGTTATAGAAAGAAGGACTGAATATTTAGAAACTCAAAAGCAAGCAAAGGAACCCCAGGAAAGTTTGGGTCCGTTGGCAGGAAAGTTTGATGATTTCCTATGAAAAGGAATGAAATAAAAGTGTTATTTTCCCCTGACATGTCTCCAAGGCAAAATTTTGGTGTGGTTGTGCCTATCAAACTCGATTTGTTTGCCAAACTCAATTTTTTGGTTGCAGTGGGTGAATGATAGAGACTGCCTGGGTCTGTTAAGAAAGATTCTGAAACAGTATCTGGGCTCAGGCAGAACTAGTGCTATAAGTGATCAAATGAATCTTGCCGGTGTCCTAGAACTAGAGCATGGTGGTATGTATCTGCCATATTTGTCTTCCTCAGGGACTCAAGAATCTCATTCCTGAGGATTTATGCCAGTAAACAATTATAACAGAAGAAACAAAGTTATATGCGAAAACGTATCCTTTTCAGTGTTCATGATGGTAGTAATTTGTCTTACAGAAGAAAAATGGTCACTTGTGAGAATTAAATTGTTGACCATGAAGACCTTTTAGAAACATGAAAAAAATGGTGAATAAAAAGAAAATATTTATATAAATGAAACAATTGCAATGCACTAAAAAAGACAGATCTATGCATGAGTATTTTTGTGCACATAGGGGCCATTTCTTCTGTGTTCACTGGTATGTGGAACCCATTGCCTACTACACAGTAGGCACATTAAAAAATACTTCTCGACTCTTTTGTTACCAGCTTTATGTATTTTTACACAAAAACAGTTTACCAAAGAAGGAATAAAAACTAAAACAAAAACTCCAGTTGCCAAAAGTTAGCGTGTGGGTTTTTTCTGCCAGAAATAACAATTTTTTCTGTTTTCTCCACTTGGTCCATGTCCCACTTAGGCTCATTCTAAGACTTCACTGAGCAATGGCAAAGACTTGAGCTCCCATTAAATTCCTCAGGCCATTGTACTTATCAACAAAGACTTTTCTGCCCTGCCTTTGCCTCCAGATGCCAGGGCTTGGGCTTCTGAGAGTCCGAAAGCACCCTTGTTTATATTCCTATCAGAGATTGTTGATTTGCCTGAAGGAAATCTTTCCTTTCATTTCATGTAGTCTGAGAGGTAACTGACGATGAGAATAGTCTCAGTAGTGTCTCCAAGGCCAATTAAAAGCTTCTGATAGAATTCAAAATTCAGATCTGAATCCTATGAACATGGTTATTGGGAATGATTGACAGATGGAGGCCAGGTATCAAACAGACTTCAGATGTTGATGAAGCCTCCATTCAATGAATGACCCCTGAATGTGGGGACAAGTGGCCAGTTAGTGTGTAACTTCACTAACTTCAGAAACTCTCCTAATATTTTCTAATTCCAACAAACAATAATTATTCTTTTTCTTTGAGCCACACAAAGAACTCATAACCCTCCACTAGGAAATTAAAGTTTATTTTCAATTTCCTTGGGCAAGGCAAAGGCAGGGGTAAATTAACAGTCTGCAGCTTGTCTGGAACTAGAAAAGCATTGAAAATCTGGTGAGGAGTTACAATGTAGGAAAATTGTCCAAAGACAATGCAATATTTAGCCGATGATAATCTCAAAGATATACTCAGAGAAGAGCAGCTAGATGAGTAGGCAATATCTCAGGGAGCAAAGGAAAAATGGAGAGAGGAGGCAGTTATTGCAATGATTTAGACCAAGGAGAAAGCAATGTTTTATCTGTCTACACCAATCTAATATACTGGACAACACAACATCTGTTTATTTAACTGGATCGAAAGTAGACCATTCAGTGTCACCTATAATTTACTCATTGTAAAGTAAATTTTCTGTCTTTATTTCTCACCTGACTATCTTATGTTACTGGTCCTTTCTTTTGAATAACATATATATATATTTTTAAATTTTTATGAGTATTTCTTGGGGACATTTTCTTTATAAATTGTTACTGAATTCCTACCATGAGCACACACTATAGGAGGCAGGAGGAATAGACTGTGAAATAAGAAATATCCAAAGAGGGCCGGGGATTTAGCTCAGTGGTCCCGACACCTGCTTTGCAAGTGCAAGGTCTGGAGTTTGATCCTAGTACCAAAAAAAAAAAAAAAAAAGAAATATCCAAGGAGATAATAAGTTACAGAAGCAATTGAACATATTAGGTGCTTTCAAAGTACAGTGCAGGAAGCCCACACTCCAAGTTGGGGAAGTCTTAGTAAAGAAGAAGACAAATGAGCTAATTCTGAAGAAAGAATCACTTAGATGGTAGTAGAAGCATCTTGTATCACTTATCATCCTTCCTTTCAGGTTAAAAGAGCTGTTAGAATTTATGTGTTTTCTTCCAGTGATTTTTATACACATATCAAAACAGATACATAGATTGTATATATAGATATGATAATTATATAAAACTGTGAAAACTATGTTTCAAAGTTTTCTTCTGTATCTTTATGTGCTGAAAACATGAGTTTTGATAGATTAATAGTATTACATTGAATAGATGTTTCATGATGGGCTTGATTATTCTCTCTGTGTCTGTTCTAATTTTTGTTTGCAAGCCTCAAAAACTAACCCAGGAAAAAGTAAGTGGAGAAGAAATTTACTGCAATCACATTAGGTAGCCGTAGGAATCTATGGGAGGATTGGGAAAATAGGCTGAGAAAAGACAGCAGAAATCAGGAGAGACTCAACTGTAGGACCCTTATTGAAGGCTACCACACAATCAATCTGGCCCAGGGGGTTTGCATTGCATGTGTTGGTTTCAATGTTCTGAGAAGGAACATCTTGCCTTACCTACCAGGTGACACCCAGGGGGAAGAATGGCCTCACTTGATTTTGTAGTGAAATGTAGAACCTGATTCCCACTAATATCCCCTCAGTGGGGTCCTTCCCCTACACAAAGAAAGCATTAGGATTTTGTTAGCAGGAAAACAAAACAAAAAACTTAAGAACATCCATGCTCTCCTCATTGTTGGATGTTAATTTGTTCTCTTCTCTCTTCCTTTCCATTGTATTATAAAACTGCTGAAAGTTTCTCAGCAAAATATTTCAGCACTTCTCTAATTATCTCCTAAAGATAAATTCTCTAGAAATGGAATTTCAGGGTGAAAGGGTGGGAATGTTTTTGTCTCTCAATGTACACTGGCATCTGAAAAGATGCGTCGGTTCATACTCTCACAGTGTGCCCACCAGGGTCTGGAACCTGCACACTTTGACCAGCATCAGGCAGGGTCCTTGGAGAAAACTTCCTGGCCTCTCCTTTCTGGCTATAGCCTGAATCTCATTTAAATTATGATTCTTTGAAGTTGAACACCTTGTGGCAAAGAGAACCATTCAGTAAGTAAGTTGTTTATTTTCTTGAGTTTATTTGTGATGATTAATTTGATTAATCTTGGGGTTGCTTCTTTTAATATGCTATAGAGAAGTGGCTACTTTTCTTTATTCTGGAAAGAGAGTATTTACAAAGCAGTAAGTGGGTCTCAAGTAATAGAAGGTTGAATTGGGGAAGGGAGGTCTTGGGAGAGACTGTGCTCCCTGAGCAGGTGGCTCTGGGGCTCACGTGAAGGATCACTCTCTCTGACTCAGGGAGAAGGGGCCGGGCACATCTCCAGACACAGGTCTATTCCATCAGACAATCGTCGCTGTTTCTAAAGTGAGATGAGCACAAAACTCAGAGGGGTGATGAAATATTTCATGACTTTTCTATTAACTTAGAAAAACCCCCCAACTTTTTAGCAAGAAACTGAAAGACTTGAAAAATCTTAAGTCCTGGGTTTTCATTAAGAGTCTGAGTAAAGCAGCAAATAAATATACAAAAAAATGTTCAACATCACTGGTCATTCAAGAGATGCAGATGAAAACAACACTGAGATTCCACCTTACCCCAGAAAGAATGGCTGCTATTAAGAAATCAACCAATAACAAATGCTGGCAGGGGTGTGGGAAAAAAGGAACCCTGCTCCATTGTTGGTGGGAGGGCAGACTGGTGCAACCACTGTGGAAATCAGTGTGGAGATACCTCAAAGAACTAGGACTAGAGGTCCCATTTGACTCAGCTATTTCCCTGCTGGGTATCTTCCCAAAAGAAAAGAATCATACCACAGTGATATATGTGCACCCATGTTTATAGCTGCACAGTTCATAACAGCGAAAGCTTGGAAACAGCCCAAGTGCCCATCAACTGGAAACTGGATAAAGAAGATGTGGTTTTTTAATAAAATGAAGTACTACTCAGCCATAAAGAATGAGAAACCAGAGACATTTATAGCTAAATGGATGCATATTGAGGCCATCCTCTTAAGTGAAATACATAGGACACACATGTGTAAATACTGAATAGTTTCTCTAATGTGAGAAACTGAGAGTGTAATTAAGGATACACATAGATGAAATGGCCTAATAACATATTTCTCGGGTTGTGTTTCCATCGCGTGTCATATGACTGTATCGAAATTTAAATTAGGGAGAAGCTTGGCTTATGTGGAGTCTGCTAGCTAACTGGAGTTTTTTTCCAGATCATTATTTGTTCAATGTTGGTTTTGGGGACCTTTCTACATCCTCTGGTGTCTTGTTGGTGCTTGAGATGCTGTTTTAAGTTATATGGAAAAATGTTTAAGTGCTTTTCAGTTTTGTTTTGGTTGAGTTCTACTGTATTTGAATATTATTGTAGTTTTTTCCCCCTTGCATTGCTCTTCTTTGAATGGTTTTAATTTTTTGTATGTGTGTGTGTTTGATAATAAAGTTATTTTAAAAAAAAAAAGAGTCCGTGTGATGTCTTGGAAGGACTACTTGATTCGGAATCAAGTACAGGGGATTATTAGGGCAGGCAAACCCCACATAGCAGTTGAAATATTGTATTCTGTGTGGCAGTATAATGATGGATACATGACATCCACACATGTGCCAAAACCTAGAGTTGTTTTACACAAAGAGTGAATGCTAATGTAAGTTAGGAATGTCATTTAACAAAAATTTATCAATATTGATTATTTCTAACCTATATCCCACACTCATGCAAGCTGTGTAGGGGTAGGAGATGGTATATGGGAACTCTCTGTCTTATTCACTCAGTTTTTCTGGAAATTGGAAACTGCTGTAAAAAATAAAGACTATTCATTAAAGAGAAAGAGAAAGGGGGCATCCAGGAAGTAGCACTTAGCTAGGAATCTGAGACCACTGGAAGGCCCTGCTGAACTCAGAGAAGTGACTTTACTTCTCTGGAATTCTCCAGGCAATCCGATCACACAGCTTTAAATAGTCTTCTTCTGATAGCCTAAAAGCTTAAGATTACTTACTTTAGATTTTTCACCCTTGTCCTGACTTCAAATGTCAGTAGTAATCAAAACATGCCTTTTTCTTTGCTATCTGCTAGGAAATAACCAAATGAATAAACACAAATGTTTTCTCTGCGCCCTGGGGCTCAGAGGCCTCTCTGGAGCTAGCAGGACCCAGACGGAAAGTCAGGCAGGAGGCAAGCTGAATTCTTTCAGAGCAAGTCACTTTTCTTCTATTTGCATAATTTGATTCTAATGTTTTGCCCTTGTCAAGTTCCTTCCTACTTGCAGACATTTATGCAATGGGTTACAACCATATTATTTTATTGTTGGTCATTAGCTGTGGGTGAATCACTTTTTTAATGGGCTTTGTGTGTCTTATTAAGTATTCCATTCACGAAGACTAGTGATGAGTTGTGATTTTGGATCACTGCGTAAACAAACATCTCTAGGTGTCTGGGCTTGGCTGGCAGCCAGGTCAGTGCAGAGCTCTGATTGGTTACATGCTTTCATGGCTATGTGGCCTCAGGTCCAGGCGATGGTGCCCATTCACAGGATGATGGACTGCGACAATTTCTCTGGTCTTGAAAGAACGTCATACTGTTTGAAAGTTTATAGAACACAGAATCATTTCCAATTTTCCCAAAGTAAATATCTGGCAAAACCCAGAATTGGATCATGTCCAGTTCTGCAGATAAAGTGCCCCCAAACTCATTTCCCCCGAAGAAAGACTGAAAAGATATGCACATTTGTATTTGGCTAATATAAACAAATCTCATTAATGTGATGGATGCAAGAGAACGTACAGTGAGGTCTGGAAGGGAGTTCATTATGTCCAACAGGAGTTGTGCACTTACTACGGCTTTTTCCATATGAGGTCTTTATGGGTGTAAGACCTTGCTCGGTCCAGAGAAATCACAACGCTTGTGCCTTAGCTGTCTCTCCTCAGCTCAATGCAGACATTACTAATAAAAGATGACAATTTTTCTGCTAAGATGGCCAGGCATCCAAGGGGGCTTGCAAGAAGGATCTGATTGCCCTCCCTGCCCAGTGGGGTCATCAGCTTCTCTTTATGGGACCCTGCAACTCTTGAGATGAAAAGAGATTCTGTAATTTCTCAAAGATAATAAAATCCAGTTCTCTGAAATCCATGGACTAAAGTACTGAGATGTTAATTTGGCTTTCTTTGTATTCTTAGAGGTTTCACTGAGCCTCCAGAACAGAGAACATGACTGATAACTGCCCGTCCTTTCTGAAAAAATAATAGATGTTAGACATATTCATAGGGAGTTAACCATAGAGAGCAAAATGGTCCCCCCTCCTACCCGTTGCTTGCAACCTAAGTAAGAGAAGTAAGATAAAAATTTGAGAAGATGGGATTAAATGAAGGGCATCCCAAGAGCAGAGAGTGTTATGCTGTCTACCACCAGTGCTACTTCTGGCAAATAACAGAGATGCAGGAATAAACATCTGTAGTTATGAGGTATGCACTGCCTGTCTGGAAGACTCTGAAAGCCAGAGGCTGGCTGGAACTGCCCATGAGGCTGGCACTAGGAGAGAGGGCAGCAGCAGCTGTAAGTAATG